GCTACCGAAAACGTTTTCTCCTGTTTCGCAAACGCCGGAAACTTTTGCACCCACAAATCTTCCGAGACTTTAAAAAATGTTCCCGTTTTATTTTCGTCGCATGAAAATGGATTAGCCGGGCTACTTTTTGCGAAAGTCCAAAGCCCTACATGAAGAGAAGAATTTCTTCGAAACTCACCCTTGGTCTGTATGTACGGGATTTATAAGCGTCGGTCCACACCAGAGTGGTCCCTAGCAGCGTGAGCGAGTCAAGTTGTTCCTACTAATAATGCGCAGATCTAAAGTTGACGAAGCACACGTATCCATTTGAGACCAGTCCAGTGTGAACATCGCAAAACCTTGCTTCTGACACCAAAATAGACCACCAGCAGCCTCTTGGTTTTCAGTCCGTTGAGTATGACGTGAAAGTACGTGCGAGATGACACATAGCCGCGCGTGGCCGCATTTGCGTGCGAGGCCATTTTGCTCTAGCGCGTTCTTTCCGCTTCCGTCTAATCTTAGGACAGAAAACCAAAGAGAACCAGCGTGCGTGAAAAATAACAGATAAACTTACAAGTGAATGGCATACAGTAAATAACACTATTTTTTTTATTTAATCTGCCCAAAATTTATTAGAAAATAATAATAAAAAAAAAAAACTGGTAAGTACAGGAGTATTTTAGACCAAGCGTTCTTTTCAGACAAAGGAACAAAGAACCGTTTTGGTCCTATTCTAGTCTAATTATCGTCAGTGCGTGACATCAGTCATGCCCTGAACAATCTCTGTGTGATGTTTGTCACGCTAAGAACACATCTCAGCCATGCTAACAAGTTTGTGATGATAGCTGTGACATCAAAAATCTTTGTGTGACATCAGCCACATTATCAACTGCCTTGGTGTGATGTCAGTCCTATGAGTGATGCCTATCATGTCATCAGAAATCTGAGTGGCATACCAGTAACGCCATAAACAAAGGGTTTGAGCCAGTAACGCAATCATTAATCTGTATGTCATGGCAGTTATGATATCTACCACCTGAGGGTCACAAACGTCTTGAATGTCAGTCACGGCATTAACCGTCTGTTTTCACGTCAGTCACATAATCAGACATTTTTGCATGAAGTAAGTCATGCCATCAACAGTCAGTGAAATCAATTAAGTCTGTGATGTCTGTCACATTTTCAACCATCTTGAACAGTCTGTGGAATGTCAGTCATTCCATCAACCAGAATCATTACTACCACATCAGAGAAATGTAAAAAGAAAACCTGAAAAACAAATGGTAAAAATTTAAAATGATCATTCATGCAACTTAATCTGAGATTTCACAAATTATTCAAAAAGCGATTTAAAAAGACAATTAGGTAAAGTCTACACCGGCGGGCCAAGTGGTCCATTCCACACGAGCTCATGTTTCTGTAGCATAAAATGACCAGGAGTATTTCCACTGCTTCCTAGATGGGAAGCTAGTCTATAACAAAGTTACTCCTATCTTTTAATTGGTAAGTATTCAATTATACATCTGAGTGGAGAGAGGCACTGTGAGAGTTAGCCATAGGTGTCTTACGACACAGTAAATTGACCCTGTCAAGGGCATGAGCTCAGACTGCTTCATCCACGCTTCATCTGGCAAACCAATCAGGTACCGCACCTCATAACCCACTGCAGTATAAGATGGTGAAGACATTGGTTAATTGTTTTGCTTTTATTTCAATTATGGATATCTTGATGGGTAGGTAACATGCATCATAAACATTAAATTACAGTGATTATATGGGAATTGGATGGTAAATATTTATCCTAAAAATTGATTAATGAACAATTTATGAATTGCAAAGTTAAGATACTACTCAAAGGATTGCATTAACCAAAGTTTAGGGATATGGCTGTATCCTGAAGCATTTTAAGTTTTTCAGACATTTGCCTAAAAATTTATTTACGTGAACTTGCAAAGTGGCCTAACTTTTTTTAGACAAATGTATAGAAAATCAAAAAGGCTACTGGCCATTTTCTAGCACAGCTACCTTGTTAAAAAAAGTATCTACACATGCCATTAGTGGGTCAAAGCCTTTTCTTGTTTTTGGCTTTGCTTTGAAAAGGTTTCCCGAGTGACACATCACATCTGGGAAGACATCATAGGAAAATTTGTCAGCGCCCAATTTGTAGGTTTCCAGGTTCTTGTAGATTATGCTTCTGGTATTGCCCAAATAACATATTCCATGCTTGGTGACACTCAAGTAAGGAAGAAGTGTATCCTCTGATAGTGGAATGCCTGCTATCTCCAGAAGAAAGTTTTTCATGACCTTCACTCTCTCTTCCACCATCTGGGAGGTCACCTTAAAGCTATGCTCTATGAACTGTTCTTTATCTTAAACTATGAGATTAATTACTGCTTGATCTTCACGATCCCCATCATCAGAGATGAAAGCAGTATTGTCTAGACCCTCTGTTGCGTGTAGAGCCATGTGGAGCTTTGTGTTTCGCCATGTCTTTACTGATACTCTTGCTGGCTTCCTGTTCTGCACCTGTTAATCAATTTCAATTCAGTTCTTTAAGTGACATTTTAAGTGGCACGAGTAATGAATCCCTCTGAGGTTAACTGCAAGCATGGGGGGGGGGGCAGGGGGGGGGAGAATCTCATCAGGGATGCTCATCGTCTTGCTTAGGGTTATAAAATCAAAGATTCCAGTCTCACTTAAGGTGTTAATGACAAAACATCACTATTTTCAGCTCTCAGAGTATCTCTAAGGGTGCACTCAAAGAAATAATAATGGAAGAAACCCTCCTATTTTTGTTTTTATGCTCGATTTCTGCTGGGTCTTTCCAGTCCGGTCTACCAGCGCAGACTCCTTTCTTGAACAGTAGCTGCAGCTGGTAATCAAGCCTATGTCGTTTTAAGTTGTATCTTTTAGTGTGCAAATAAAGCTCGAGCCGACGAGCATCCCCAATCTTTTTTTCGAAGACCCCCCCCCCCCCCCCCCCCCCCCCCCCCCCCCCCCCCCCCCCCCCCCCCCCCCCCCCCCCCCCCCCNGGGGGGGGGGGGGGGGGGGGGGGGGGGGGGGGGGGGGGGGGGGGGGGGGGGGAGAGGAATTGGGGAATATTTAGACTAACCAGACTGTTATCTATGACCGGAATGCCTGGCATGTTGGCTTACATGACTCGCTGGCTGGCATTTTGGGCAGTCGACCCCGAATAAACGTCCTCCCCCATGCCATGAACGGCGCTTCGTTGGAAACGATAGCGCAGCTAATTCTCCTTTTCCCTTACTTTTCGTTTAGATATTCTAATGCATTCCCTACGCTTTTTTACCTTTCATTTCCTACTCTCATCTACAGCCGGTATAGACCCCTGGGACTTTCCTTCCGACAGAAGCATTTTCCACAATTTGTTACAGCAGCCACCATGTTGGATTGACTAGTAACCAGGCCTTTGGAAAATCGGGATTGGACTTGGGGAAGAACGCGGACGGATTCTTTTTGCTTCAGCTAGCTGCATTTAACTTACTTAACTGACTTTCTTCAGATCATTTCCATTTTTGGCAACAGAATAAATTGAAGTTTTGGCTTTTAATTCGCTAGACAACAAATCGGTCAGTGACAAACGCAGACTGCAAACTGCAGATCGGAGGTCAAATATAATGCAGACTGCCCAGACACTACAGACCAAGAGTAAGCTTGAGTAACATGCATAATGTAGACTTCTTAACTTATCGTGTTACATTTTCTATTATCAAGAGCTAATTACCATAAACAGGACAACGATTTGCTAGACACTCAGAGTATTCTACTGGTTCTTTCATGGCTATTTGCGGTTAAAGGAAAATCGCTCGTACGTTGCTCCTATATAGAAAAATGATCTTTAACTTTTGGCTAATAAAATGAATTTAATTTGCATGCATGGACTGTGATCTTTTAGAGAGTCTACTAAACAATAAGTTTATTAGTCCTAGTTTTCTATGAGCGAGAGCTCACTCGGCTGGGCTTCGAAGACTATTCGATCTTATAATCCATCCATTATTTTCGCTCGCATGTCAATACTGGAGAATATCCAAGCGATATTCCCCAATTTTCAAAACTGCGCGTGTTACGAAAAGTATTTGAAGGATAATACACACAATGTCCTCCATTTGACGCGAAAATGTGTTCAGATTTTTGTTCTTGGACATTATCTGTTTCTTTAAGCTCACAGTTTTCGCTGGTCGCTCCTCGGAACAGACAATGTCCGGGCCAAATATCAGAGCATACTTTCGCGCCAAATGGAGTTTATTGTTTATATAGAAACCTCAGTCTCACATTCTTGTTGTTAGACCTTGTTAAACGAAAACACAGCTTTTATTGCACAGCTTTTGTCAGTACGGGTTTCGGAATGGCAATAACTAACTGGACTTTTAAATTTTTTTCCTATTAATCCCTTGGCGCAAGCTGAACACTGCTCCAGCATGTTTTGGCTGGAAAACGTCTTCTTTCCAGATTTCATCGTTTGGTACGGCGACATTTGTGGTAAATGGCACAGAGATAGATAGTGGTGGTGGTTATAGCTGTGCCAATGCATATGCCAAGTGCGATTAACATAGTGGCCTTGTTTCTGGTACAGAAAAAAAAGGCGGTGAGGAAGTCAACGAGAATTAAACTTGTTTTGATATATATCGGGCGAACAGAAAACGAGCTTCAGTTTATTTCTGGCAAAAGAATAAACTAGCTTCGAGACTGGAGTTATTATAGCTGTACATATTCAGTATTCATTTAGTGTTTACAAACGATATAAGATTTGTTTGACGGCAAAAATATTGCTATCGCTGCCATCAATTGACGGGGAACTGTTGAAAGTATTCCTTACAAGACTAGACCTTTCAGTTGCAAGACCTCCCCCGCCAAGAAACGTTAATAAATAATATCAAAGACAAAAATTAAACTAAAGTGGAATTTTCTTGGCATTTTCTTGGCATTTTATTTTCAATATATTTTATGCATAAACTTTTTAAGAATTGTAACTTATGTCATTATATACAACTTAATTTTTCTTTTTTTGACAGCACTGGAACAAGAGTCGAAACCTGCTGACATCACTACGGGCTTCCTAGCATATTTACAGTGAAAGAAAACACTGCATTTGGCGCCATTGTTTTCTACTTTTCTCATCTATTTATGGTGCAGTTGTATCGTTCATAAAAGCCAGCTACTGATTAGCAATAGTCTTCGCAAATTCTTCTTTCAAATTTTGTAGATCAGTCGTTAAGCCTTTGAGCCTTTCCTCCAAATTTAGTAACTCGTGTACCACGTACATCTTTCTGTTAAGGGGAGTGATGTTACAGTTGTCCTCGGGCTCACCTGGACGCTGGTGCATATCTATAAGAAATTAAAGATAACAAGAACATTTTGAGCCTCATTTTTTGAACATCACAGACGGTACGATCGACCTTGAAAGTTTGCGTATGCCAATACTATCCTGCTTTAGTATAAATCTACTAGCGTTCTATCGCGAATGCTGTTCTCTGATTGGCTACGCTACTCACTATCTTTTCTGTGATAGATAGTGAGTAGCG